GACAAGATTAGCATTCGAAACTGTATTAAACAGTGGCTAAAAACCTTTATCTAAGCCATTTCCATACACCATTTTGTCCTAGTCAGATCTAAATTGTTCCTATTTCATGATTTCATCTCACTCTCCTTTGCATGGAGATATTGTTTGGTGGCAGTGATGTCAATGGTCCACCATGCAAGTGTAGAAAGGAGCCACAGGAAATAATGAAAGCTTCCCAGTCTGGGAAGACAGGTTTTTATCAAGGCACCAATGGGCTGCATGGCCTCTTTATCGTTACAGAATCTCCCTCCAGTACAATCCCTTTGTTTTAGTGGGGTACCTTGGAAAATAAATACCATCTACGTATCTAAGAACAGTTGAATTAAATCATCCCCTCTTTCTCATTTCCTGCCTGTATTCAAGAAAGAAATTGCTCCAATGAACTTCTGACCTGGAAATTTCTTTTGGAAGAAATTGATTTACCAGAATGGGAGTAGAAGTGAGTTTGATGTTATCTTTTGGGAAGGAAAGTGATTTTGCTGTTTGTATAAATAAGTATTGATTTGAAAACACTCATTACACTCTCACTTGCAGTATAATTAAGTATGTCCAGAGAGTAAGGAAATTATGAGGTCAGAAGCAGACAAATACCTCCACTTACCCTCACAAATGTGTTGGAAACACCACAACATAGCTGCTTTTCATTCTCAGAGGTGACTAAGCTGCTAAAGGAGATAGCAAAACACACCACTTAAGTCTTCAATAAGTACATTACTCTGTGAACCTTTATATTAAATTGTAAGTCGCCAAAGTCCCTGTTTTAATCCAATAGCTCTTAATAGCAACAACCTTTGATAGAAACTGACCACACTAACCCTAATGCCCTCAATCTGCCTTATTTCTGTACTTTACAAGTATTGCAGCTCAGTTCAACATTCAGTTTTCCAAATGATTTGCTGAGATAAATGTGCTTGATTAATAGACCAATCAACACTCACCCCTGCTGAAATATAGAGTACATTATTCCCTGACATTAAAGCAGTTACTTGGTGCCTTTGCCTCCTAATGGAGATGTTCCACCAATATGGCATCAGAGGTGATGTATGTGTTGAACCTCAGTGTTGCCCCAGAACGAGACCACTCGGAAAACTGATCACAGGCAGTTGAGCTCTAATGAGTGCAGCAGAAGACGAGTTTCGACCTCCTTCATTTTCAGCCTCTACCAGCCTCCTTCTTTATCTCACTCTACCTCTGTTGCTCGCAACTACACCTTCTCACTCTTTCTTCTTTCAATGTCTTTCACATACTCTTAACAAGCAAGGCCAATTCCATAAATCTCTGGGAGAAAAGACTTCTTCAATTTTGTTTATGTTACAGAAAATAGTTGTCCTAGCCAGAAAACAATGATTTAGATAGAATTTAACTTGAGCATGTTTGTTCAAAGAGGCCCACTGTCTTGGAGGCTGTCCATGGCCAACCTTAGTAGACAACTGCTTGGAGTGTTATCTGTGGTTTCAGTAAATAACTTGTTCAAAATTGAATGCACTCTTTCATCTTGTCAGATAGACAGTTTATGACAGGAATGGGAGAATCAAAGTAGAAGCAGTGCATCAAACACCACTGGGAGTGCCAAAATAGCAGACTCTAGTTCACTGCTGACCATATCAGATGTGGCTATCTGCCGAATCTGTTCAGCATATATGTTTTGTATTTTGCTTGAAGTGCGCATGAAAAAACAGCTAAAACATATTATTTTTCTTATTTTTCACTGGCTGGTTGATATAACACAGTGTTCCCTTTTGTATCCAGTTCATAAAATAATTTTGTATGTGCTATTTTGAATACACATTTCTGGTAGGTCTTTCATAGGAGAAGAAGTAGAAGAGCTCATAGGTTCAATGAGAATAGATTTCTGCTGATGAGCACTGACTGCTAAACAGACAAGGAAATGGCCACCCCATATAGACACTGAAACTTCAACAGAAACAAAGACAAAGGTTTGGTATAAGTAGTGCTGCCTGTGACATCCTGTGTGTTTACCCTGTTTGCCTTTTGTCTTCGAAGTGTGGGTTTGAATCGGGGCTACTCACGCTACTCAAATCATCCATTTACTGTAGGATGAATTACGGAGCTAATGAATCAGTGAGATTTATGACCTGTCTGGTTTGTGGTTTGGCTGTGGTGTGAGTTATGTTTCCTGTTGATTATTGACTGCACTGACCAACATCTCCTTGGAGGCATGAGTCGGGGTTGAGTTGTGGTGGTGTGATAGCTCTGTGTGTGGGGGTTGTATTGATATGGCATCATTACATGTGAATACCAACTTGTTGATAATGCTAACTCTTTCTTTATTGTTTAGTGCTGTGTATGTATAGATTGTAATTCATTATATTGCCTGAAATACAGATCTAGTCAAAACTATGGCATATATTTACATGTTTTATCTTCAAATTACTGATTGTAGCATCATGGGTAGAGAAGCTGGCGTGCGACTACAGCACTGCAGTCCCTTACTTGTGAAATCTGGACTGGGAAAGTGGATTATCTCAACAACAACAAGTACTACTATAATGTGTGTTCACTCCAAATGGGGCTTCTGTGTGAATATTTACAACTGTAGCCATGGTGTCGGGATAAAGAGCATTCATGCTCCGACGAAAAACAGAAATAATTGTGGATGACTGGCATGAGCTTGGTTGGACCTGCCAAGTTATTAAAAAGCATAAAATGTTCAGATACTCTTGCAAAGCACATTAATCAAATATTCATAATGCAATCAAATATGATACTGTTGAGGTTGATCTGTTGACAGCCGTGGTTTAATAGACAAATGTAACTGGTATCTGGAGTAGAAATCCAAACAACACTGCTGGTATTGACCCAAGCATGTCTGTGACACTATTTAACCTTGGTGTCTGCCACCCACATAGCAAACAACCTTCTACTGAAAACATACCAAATGCACTGTAATGGACATATGTCTGCATGTTCTGATATATCTATTTACTCAGTTAACAGAATGCAGTGTAGTAAATACAGTACAATACTTTCTCATATATTTAAGGTATTGTTTCTGGCTTGACAATGCCAAGTCCCTGCTGAACACTGATATTTCTTACAGCTTTGGGACAGTAGCTATTGATTTCTTTGTGGCCTGATTCATGAAAAACTGATAGGACAGAGTAAGTACACAGAATGCTAGAAACACAAAGTCTATGTAGCAATGTGGCTGCAAACAAACATGCAGCAAAGTCAAGGACATAGGAAGAAGAACTAAGGAGCAGCCAAACAGACAATGTTTCAGCATTATTCACTAATGTTTGTTGCATAGTTTGAACCTGATGACCAATGACTCAGTATGTATTGTAATATACAGTATGAAATATGCTTGACTCTTCATGCATATGGAGACATGTAAGCAGACTCTATTAATCTGTGGTGATAATGCGTATATTGAGAAGATAGAAGTTATTTCCTTTTGTGATTGATGACTTATGCACAATAATGTGTCATATAAACCTGATTTATGAGCCACATATCTAATAAAATTAAATGCAAAATATGTTCTCAGCAAGTATTACACATATATGCTAAGCAAATAGGCTGTCATATTCATAAATATCTGTCTTTATTCAAGACTTTAGGCAAGGCAGCTCAGCTCTGTGATGGGACAGATGGTGGATGGAGTTTTGACTCATGCCAAAACAACAGTGATCAGAAGTCAAAAATAATTACTGTAGTCACATTAACAGCAGCACTGTCATTCCTCAGTTTGTGTTTGCATATCTAAATCATAATTTAGATGTTACGACTGAATGAGGACACATAAACTGGCTTTTTTGGGGGGGAGGTATTCTGTTGATGATGTCTGGACTTCTGTAAGGTTTTTTTGCCTATGTCTGTTCAGCCACAGTGGCCATCACAGCTCATCTGAAAGAATTTTGTTTGGGTGGAGCCGTTTGAGAATGATGAAGTGGAAAGACGAGAAGGGATCTGTAGGTGGATGCATGTACAAGAGTGAGAGACACACAGACACTGAACATTACTTTGCTCCGCTGTTGTCATGAAACTGTAAATCTTAAAATCAAACAAGGCCTCTGGAAATGCATCACATCACTGATGCAACACACGCCACTAATGGAGTCTACTCAGGGTTACTCTGTGCTAAGTGAAGACTATTGAAAACCGCCAATTCAGATGCTTTCATCTCATGCTGCAAGTGTCGGCCTTGAAAACATTAAGCCCTAGGAAGAAAGGGAGGGGCGCTCTTGTCTATCAAAAGGAAAAAAGGGGCAGAAGTAACATTTATCGACACATTTATGGTGAACAAGTGACATGGACATACAAAGACAGAGAATGAGAATGAGAACATACAGTTTTGTATGTTATTTACACCGTACACCTCACACAATTAGCCCTCCTCACCCTGTCTCGTCTTGGTGTCTGACGGTTTTTGAGAGCCACTAACAGCCTTCCTCCACTTTGAGTCGGCTGCTTGCTTTGCTGCACTCACTGACCTAGCAGTCAGACATCAGAGCGACACTATCTGCTCTGACACCGTGTAGGTGCAGATGTATTCAAGTGTGTAGGTCTGAATGTGTCCACATGTTCAGTTATTGTGTGAGTTTGTGGATGTCTTTGGCTGCATTTGAGTATGCTTCATGTGCATGCAAACGTGTGAGTGTGTATGTGACGTCTGCTTTAGCTCCTGTCATGTCAGTGAGGAGGTGGCACTGTACTGTGCAATAAGAGCAGTCAGCCTGCAGGCAGGACTGGCCATCTGGACAAATGATAAGGAGCCTAGCCCAGACATCAATGTTTTTTTCAGTCCCTCTCAGTGTTATCAGATCTCGGTCTCTTTCTGCTGTCTGTCTACATATCAGTCAACAATGATACATTGTATTTTAACTATCTCACTCTTTCTCTCCTTTTTGTTTCCCCATCTGTCTCTGTATTTCTTTCTCTCTGAATCTCTGTCTCTATCTCAACACTCTCCTCTTGTCTCTTTTCTTCCCCTGCAGTTTGCTGTTTTGTGGTCCACAAGCGGTGCCATGAACTTGTCACGTTCTCCTGCCCAGGGGCAGATAAGGGGCCTGACACAGACGTAAGTAACCAAAGCCCAGCTGTTGCCTCTCACTTGTTTGTTGTTGAGGAGGTGCCTTCCCTGTCATTACACTGAAGAGCATGCACAGTGGCACCAATATGTAGTCATATCAACTAGGCCTGCCTCTTTTCTAAACAAACTTTTTCTCTTTGTATGTATCCTCGTATTATGAAGCACTATAGCATCACTTTCAAGTGCATATTGCGTCAATTTCAGTTTGAAGAAAGTGTAGATGTTTGAAATAATAAAATAAGCCTTCTTTATTGTCATGTTAATGGAAATATTGATCACAGCAAATTGACACAAGTAGGAAATGTATTGTTTACGTTGAAAATAAAAGCTTTGTATCTTTGTTTCAAAATATCTCAAGAGAAGAGCTTTAATATTTTACTTTTGCATAATTCAAATACTGCCATTCAAATGTTAAATTCATTCAACTTATGATTGAATCACAGCAACAGCAGGTGGCTAATTTGATTAATTTAATGTTGATGTTCCAGTCGAATCACAGTTCGTCACCTTTAGGAGAAATGATTCAAATATTCCACTTAGTGAGTAACTGTTTCCAACCCCTTAAGACAAACTAAACTTTAGATTGTTCCCTCCTTGTAATAATGCAAAGTCAATCTGTTTTCCTCCAAACTAAACAGCTTTGACAAACAGGTTGTGACTTTATAACATATTGATGCTGACCTTCATCCTCAAAAGGGTTATGGAGTTCAGAATATAACTCTAAATAATAATTCTCATTCATCCAGCAGGACTAAGTTCACGCAAAAGCCGATTGTCAGATTAGTGTGCCATTAGCAATGACCTGCTCCGGCCCAGAGACAGATGGGAAGTGTAGGATTGGTGGCCAAAACCAACACACCTACATCTGTCTTGGCCAGACCAGGAGACACACAACAGCTGGTCTGAATTAATGATAACACCAGAAGAAAAACAAGACTCTAATCTTAGCAATAGTCCAAGTTTACTGAGCACACTGTTTTCTGGATTTCTATTAATTAATGATTTGCCATTTCTCAGTGAAGTTCTAGTTGAAACAGTTTAGTTAAGTTTTCTGAGTAATTTAATCAGCATATTGAGATAAAAAAGGTAATTAACGTACGGTTACATTAATTACATTAATTAAAAAGGATTTCTTTCATTTGACAGTCAGTATCATTTGAAATGCTTGATAAATATCATATATGTTCAATTAGGTCTCCCATTCGCCTCTTCATCGGCTGCTAGTACCAGCTACGTGCTATCAGCCACAGCTTACCTTCTTGCTAAGTGTGAAACTCCATTTACATGCCTGCGTGCCTGCCGTAGGCATGAGTATCCTCTCAGCATTACGGCAGTGCAGCCTGGCCTCTGTAACTGGAGATATGTCAGTGTGTCATTCAAGATCATCAACCCAGACTCTTTAAATAGAGCGGATGACACGGAAGCCGTAACAGCAGAAAATAGTCTGAGCTGGGGGGATTCTAGATTCGAGCACTGAGGTTTGTAGTGAGGGAACATCAGGTTCATCGTTTGCAGGACAGCTGACTTTTAAAGACCTTTGAGATGTGTGTGTTGCAGTGACCCGGTTTCCCATTTTACTATTGCATAGAATGCACGAGCATGTCTTTATTATTGAATCTACTTGAAGCTCCTCGTTCATTCCTGTCAAACTGCAAAGTTCTGCGTTATCTAATGGAGGTTATTTTCTTTGTTAATGTGATATCAAAACCTCTATTCTCATAACCCACTATAGTGTATTTATATATATTTTTCCTCTGGTCTTATTTCTACATCTTATTTAGCCTTTTACTGTTATACTATTTGTCATTGCCACACTGAAATGCAAGGATTATGTGTCACATACTCCATACACTAACAGTACCTCAACAAATGTGCAGAAATCCAATCCGACAAGAGCAGACTTCACTTAGAGCACCTCTATTCTCTCTATTCCTTTTGTTCATGCAGAGACTATATGGTTTTTATGACTTTATAACTCACCATGAACCAAATCAAGTCTTTTAAAAATATAATCTTGTGCCGTATAAAATATGTGGTACTCCCTTTAATATACACAATAATATTCTGTGCACTTAGCAATACTGTTGCCAGGGGCAACCTCACATATTACATGTCTTGCTGCCTCCCAGGCGTGCAATCCAGGAAGGCAATAACTCCCATGGCCAACAAATATCCTGAAGATCTGCAGTATCTAGGCTACCTGCATTTTATGACTCATGTCTGTGTTTTATAACTCCCCTACTGGATGAAACATAGTGTGCACAAAGATGCTAATAAGAGACACCAGATCTTTTCAGTAACAAACTTGAGCTTGACCATGAGCAGCTAGCCTTGGTTTAACTGGTCAAGATTACAATGAATACGCTGTTCCTCATAGCAACGGCCTCAGGGTGTTATTTCAAGGGCAGATAAAGGCTGCAGATACACTCACACGTGAGAATCGCTCTGTACAGCCCATTGACAGTACAGCCGGTGTAGTAATTGTGTCACAGAGCACATTCAGTGGTGCAGTTTGCGATTCAGTTTTAAGGTGTCATCTTTGAGGAGAGAACTAACACTTGATTCGTCTCCCAGTTTCACAGGGATTGGAGCGGATGTCTGTCGACGCAGGCTTGCTGCTCAAACCACTAGATTGCTGCTTCTCTTGAGAAACTTAACATTATCATTACAGTTGTCATAACAAAGGTAGAAGTAAAATTGGTGTATGCAGTATTATAACTGGTTGTCTGCTGTATCTTTTGATTTATAAGAAGCATATCAATGCCTTGTCAAATTAATTTTGGTAGTGCCTCTAGGCCCCATGATGCTGTGTTTTTGTGGCAAATCGAATGACACAGTATAGTGGAGTATAAAATGAAATTGCAGAAAATGCTCAAATGTTTGTTACTATCTTTTGTTAGTTTCTTTAGACTTTTAAAACAATTTAAACATGTAACCTGTAATCAAAATTGGCCTTAAGGAGATGCGTTGTATTAATCTGTAATACAATCAATAACAAGTATCATCATCTGTAATAATAAACAAAGCTGTTTAGTTTGGAGGAAAATATATTGACTTATTGAAGCACTTCATTTAAAAAAATGTTTGCGTTTGACTGTCAGGTGTAATGTTACAAGCAGGTCGAGTAAGTTCAGTGCTTTACAGGACAAGACCATCAATAATGCAAGAGCTTCCCATTTCACTACAGGGGCTCAGCAGCTGAAACTGAGAGGTTTAATGTGCTTGTGTGGCTGTGTGGCTGCTGCATCATTGATGTCCACTTAAGCAGTGCAGCACATATGACCTGGGGCAATCTGCAAGTCTTTTTGCACTGATTTCCCCTCTGCTTACACACACACACACACACACACACACACACATGTTCAGACAATCACCCCTAGCCCTTCGGGGCTGTTCAGTGCACAGCTAGCTGTGACAGAGTAACAGAGTTAAGCAGGAGCTCAGTGCCCTTTCTGTCTCCTCTGCTTGGAAACAGACAGAACTGACCGGAGGGTGACATGGCAGCCTGCCAGGGCTCAAACACACACCCAGAAAATACTCTAGTGCCATTTTGAATGGCGATATATGTAAGGATGTTCTTCACAATATCGACTAGTCAAATGGTATCAATAACACAGCCTTTAAATCACTCAGTTAAGGTATACATATGTCATAAGGTGTAAATAGTTAACCTGAGAGAAATCTTATTTGTAATATTAATGAGTAATGCCATAGGCAGAAGTGATCTAATATTTAAAAGGGTAAATCATACAGGAGTAGCAGCTCTGGGAAAGATAGGTGTTCTGGTGACGAGGTTTGGGACACTCCATCTCATTACAAGGACTCTGCTTGGGAATTGAAAACAAGATTAAACTGGATTGAAGCTAAATTACATCATCAGTGCCACAGGCATCCTTGGTTGTCACAGGCAATGGAGCCTTTCGTCTGTATTTTTAGTCCATTTCCTTCTGGTGAGGGTGTTGGCTGTCACTTTTAGACAGGCCTGTTCTGGTACAGAAGTTGTCTTTAAACACCGTTTCACCATTTAGCCTGCCAATGGTTCAGAAGTGAATCAATGGGGAATCCACTTAAACACCTTTTCTGGTGTTCATAGGAAGATGATTCTGCTAGTGGTGATGTGGTGTAGCAGGTCATCTGCTGACATTGGTTTGCCAGTATGAATCACCACATCACTGGCACTGACAGTGGCAAAAACACTTAAGGTAAAGGTTGGTAAACTGTTTTTCAGTTGGTTTTTTAACTATATGTCAGTACCAATAAAAATGGCAACAGATATAATATTGGTGTGAGTGCTTGTCTGAATGTAAATGTAGCTGCTTATGCTTGTGCGATGTAATGGGCCTTGTATCAGTGTCAGCCTCCCACCCCTTTCTGGTGTCAAATCCTGGCACATGCTTTGAGCACTCGCCCCTATGCAAGCCTTGGCACAAACCTTGCTTCCAAGGAAACATGGCCACAAAGAAACTTGATGCTGCATATTTGTGCTTAGTGCACTAATTTTATTTTGGTGTGTGAGGGCTGACATGTCCTGTGGAGCCCTGTCACGATACACTGTTTTAGCAAAATTAGATCATTGTAGACTCAAACATGCCTGCAAACACACACGACATGCACATAAAATCACACTGTGAAAAGTGCCAGACGGAATTATCTCTGTGGCGGGTAGCTAGAGCTGCAGCCTGCAGAACGTGCACGAGAGGAGACACATAACAGCTACTCATGTCCTTCTATAGGGAATAAGAGAATGTTCTCTACTCATATTGTGTGTCTAATGAAGTTTGGCCTCTGTCACCAAGCTGTATTCATTGTCGTAGATGAGCCACCCCAAGTATGATGTGTTTGGAGATGCTGCTGTGATGTCATTATCTGCTCACAGCATGCACAGTTCATCATCTGACCTCAGCATTTACACCAGAGAGTGTAGTAGATGAGAATAGGGTTGCAACTAACTATCATTTTAATTATCGATTAATGTGGCAATTATTTTC